TGCAGAGAAAAATATTCTTATCCAGCAATAACGCTTCTGGCGAGACAATGTTCTGTGAAACATTTTTAATTTTTGAACATGGACTTTGAAGTTTAACTTGATAGTCGGCGTTTAGGTTTGTTGAATGGAAATAAAGTTTCCTCTGTAGTATCGGAGGCAGAGAATTACATCTTTAAATGGTGATATCGATGCGTGATTAATTTGCAAATAATACAATAATTTGAATTATTAGGTTTGGTTTATATCGGACTTTGGTGAATGGAAATATGTTCTTCCCCCCTGTAATATTTCTCCTGATTGCAGAGAAAAATATTCTTATCCAGCAATAACGCTTCTGGCGAGACAATGTTCTGTGAAACATTTTTAATTTTTGAACATGAACTTTGAAGTTTAACTTGATAGTCGGCGTTAGGTTTGTTGAATGGAAATAAAGTTTCCTCTGTAGTATCGGAGGCAGAGAATTACATCTTTAAGTGGTGATATCGATGCGTGATTAATTTGCAAATAATACAATAATTTGAATTATTAGGTTTGGTTTATATCGGACTTTGGTGAATAGAAATATGTTCCTCCCCTCTGTAATATTAGAAACGTAATTGAGAATTACACGAATCTTTAACGAAGTAACGATATCGATGCATGATACAGTTATTAATTTAAAATTAATATGGGATTGCAGTGACTCCATTGAAGAGTTAAAGTATCTTGCTCATAGATATGATACCATAGGAACGTTTTTAATGAACTTACAATTTTAGTTTGATAGTTGGAGTTTAGATTTGATTTATATCGAATTTTAGTGAATAGAAATAAATTTTCTCTGTGTAATATTAGAATCATAATATGACGATAGAAAATTACGTAAATCTTTAAGTAATGATATGCGTGATATAATTGTTAATTTAAAATTAGGTAAAAGTCGCAATAACTCTGGTAGTTAGCTTAAGGAACTTAATTTGAAGTGTCTGACTGATAGACAAATGTGCAATATAAAATTAATTGCAATCTTGGAATTAGAAATTAGAAGTATAGAATATTGATAGAAGTAGTTGCTTCTCATTAAGAAAATGTACTTTTAAAATATATATTCAAATACGAGGTGTTGATCACGAGTTAACGATCCTCGTACATTAGGGTACTGTCTAAGAAAACGGAAATTTCCAGCTATGTGCTTAGATTATAAGTTAGCCGAAGATCTGTTTCACTCGATAACCTACATTTCTTGTCATTTGACGAGATATCGCGTCGATTGGCAGAAAATCGAACGATGTAACACGCTGTTGTTTCCATTTTCCGTAATTAATGTCGATGTCACGACTCATTGTCAGAATAGGGACACGTGTCACGTGGATCGGTTGATTTCTGGCTTTGATACGCGATAAGCATGCTGAGATTGATGATCGTCAAAATGTTTGGCTGATAGAACGATTGTGGTGACTCTTTCAAATTAAAGAATTATCTAATAAAAATATGACAATATTGTGACTTTATGTTGTACGTTTTATAAGAAGGCTATTTGAAGCAAACTGTTGAAGATTTTCTCCAAGATATTTCGTTATTTTGTGAATTTCTTTTCAAGACTGAATCTTTTTACGATGTAAATGAAATTTCGTTTTTTTTTTTTTTTTTTTTAGATCATTAATAATAGAAGTGGAAATTTGTCGTTAGAGTAGAGATCAAAATAAGTTGCAGTTGCATTTAATTAAATAATAATTTACAGAGTAGATGCAACATTGAGCTTGGAAAGGTGAAGAAATAAAGAAGTTATTATTGTGAATAGTCTTTTTATAAAATATGTCTCGTTCTTCAACTAAATATTCTATGTACTATTAGAGTATCTAAATACTAAGACATTTATAAATACAATTACTTATATATATATATTAATTATACCGTACTACTTTAGATAAATGATTGAACAATTTGTAATGGACAAATATTTACCAGATTAATGTATTATAATAGTACCACTATTAGGCTACAAAATACTGCAACATTATTACTATTTATTATTACTGTATAAATTATTAAAATATTAGGCTACAATATATAAGACAAAACACTGCAACATTATTACTATTTATCATTACTGTATAAATTATTAAAATATTAAAGTTATACCACGTTAATTACACAATATTACTTTGTAATAATACGTGATTTACGTCCGAGACTTCTGCCTGAAGAAATTTATTTTCCGCTCGATCGGCTAATTTTCAGCATCGTGAGTTTCATCGTGTCGGCCGAAATCCCGCAAAAAAAAGTGAATACTATCATCGGTCAGTCCTTTGACTATAAAATCGAGTCGTTGAATTCCACTCGTGCGAGAGGCCGGAACGCTTAGTCTACGGCTGTTTCAGCGGCTCGACGGTGACTCGTCACGTCGAAATATAAACGGGCAGCTTAATTCACGTCGCGCGATTATCATATCGGCAAGGTGGAGGATTACGCGCGACAGCAAAACGTCTTTCTCGCGATCGAACATCCGTCATGGAACACGCTGACGGTGTTTAGAATCGGATTTCGAGACGTCCGACTGCAGGTTTTCGAATCGACAGGAACTTAGAGCATACAGATGAAGTGCAGGTCGATAAGTATTCTTCTTGTGCCAGAGTAGGGTCCGAGATTCTATAATTGTTCTATAATTGTTAATAATTGTCCTGAAATTGTTCTATAATTTTAATTTTCCTTCCGAGACAATGCGATCGTAACGTAGAGACATTTACGATCTTTGTATTTGATTTATTATAGATTTATTCTAATATTACAGATATTATAGTAATATATATTTATTATAGATGGTATTTGAGTTATTATAGAACGTGAAATATTTTGGAAATTTGTTGAATAGGCGTTTCTGACAATTTGTTTTAGATTCATTCTTTTGGTCGTGAATGTCACAATTCTTTTGAAGGCTGAGCTTTTAAAAAAAATATTTGTTTCAGTAATTGCGACACCAGGACGATTTTACTTGTTTTCAAAAAGAGTCGAGAAAATTTTTCAGAAACGCAATTTGCAAAAATTAATGAATCAAACGTAAAACATGTTCAAATAAAATCTAAAAGGATATTTTTATTAATGTCTTTCTAAATTAAAATTCTTATATTATTAGTATACTATTAGCATATTATACTATGCTTATGCTTTTATATTAAAGTTTTATACAGCTCTCCTTCTGATGATTTAATCATCATTTAATCCTCGATACGTGGAGAAAATGATCGTGAAATGCAGACCACTATATTTCACGTATGTTCTGTTTGTACATTTAAATTCTCGATCTACGAAACCTGCCTAATATCGGCACTACTCGCGAAGCTGCTTCGTGGAAAGGTCAATTCCCGCGAGTTTCCACCCTCTTCGCGATTTGTTTCGATCGAAGACTGTGGCTCGACGCGGCTGCTGGTCACAGCAGATCGCTGCGAAAATCTCTTTTATCGCTTCGGTTCTCGGTTGAATTCGAATCGGCGACGATCATCATTGGCGTGCAAGCGGAATTTGCAATAGCGCGTAGACACGCGTGAGACGAATGACGGAGCGGAGTGTTCGTGTTTGTCGAGAGTTATTGGCACTGTGTGTTTCGTACACGGTGCCGTGCGAATGCAGATGGTGAAACAATTGTTCATCCGTGCGTAAATCCACGCGTTTTCTTCCTTGACTCGTTGGTTCTGTTTTGATTGATTCTAATGTCGTTGGGAAAAATAAACGATGGGTTTTCGGTCGGTAAAAGTGAAGGAGCATTGTTGGGAAATCACGTTGAAATACACAATATTTCGATATATATAAAATATATATAAAATATATTTCCAAATAATTTCGATATATATAAAATTTGTAAAATATATTTCCAAATATATTTTGTATAAATTTTATATATATAGTTCGAAATATATTTTATCCTCTATCAAAAGGATAAAACGTTGAATATGTTTCATTTTCCAATACGTAGATAATATTTAGAGATAATCAACAAACTTGAATCTTGTTAAAGAATTGTTTTATCTAGTAAAATTTTATAAAATAAAAACATACCGTGGATTTTGGGCATTGTCATATTGTTACTTTAAAATTTTCTACATTTATTGTATAAAAATTCACTAGCTAACAAACCTAATGTTGATTTTCGGTTTTAATTTTATGATACTAATGTTAACACATCAATAGTAGGTACAGTATACATTATATTTCCTTTGAGATGTACAATGTCAAATTAATTTACAGTTTACTTCTACTTTTTTTTTTAACTTGAAAGAGCAGGTTTTCACTCGAAATCAAATCGTAGTTTTTCAAGTCTTCAATGCCGGTCTAACACTTTCACACTGAATTGAAAAGTATAAAATCTACAATTTCATTTTATTCGTTCAATTGATCCTTTTTTCTTCAACTTTTGTTGACAAATTTGACTTGCAAGTACTTGTTTTTCGTCTGCATAAAAAACCACGTATACAGTCGCACTCAGTTTTTCTTAGAATCCAATGTGGAAAGATTTTACGAGAAGCCTGAGAAATTCTCGGCGACACCAACGCTTCATTTCACGGAGCCTTTACTGTTAATTTGAAGAAACCTCGATGCGGCTTCTTTCTTAACCCTTTGGGGCTGGGAAGTGTTTACGAAAAAAAAAAAAAAAAAAAAAAAAAAAAAAGAAATGATGTCAGTGAATAATCAAACGTATCCAATCACGCCGATTTTTGCACTTCCTTTTTGCTTTAAATTTCTGTTCGTTGTATTAATGTTTGCTTGTTATTTTTTTCTTGTTGTTTTGATACGAGATGTTATGATATTATTCGATGAAAACGAGTGTCGCGGTGGTCTCGCTGATTAAGATTTATCGCATTTGAATTAGTGGATTGCTTTCTATAATACATACTTACTGTACGTGGAACTATGCAAATATTTATTTCGAGAGTGTTGATAATCTTCAAGACTGCGGATGTTTGTGCATTTTTCACAAATCTTGACGAACGTATAATGGAATATCCAGATTATTTATTACACTATTCAGTGCAGCTGATTCGGAACAAATTTCTGTTGAAATTTCTTTACTCTCTTTAGTTAATTTGGCTAATTTAAATAACAAACTTCTTTAATTAACAATTTTTAATTAACACGTTGGTAAAGAACACAACGTAGAAAGCAGAAATTATTTACTGTTTATGTATATAAAACTATATATATACATTTACTGTTTCTGAGGATAAATTTTTTTCGCCTGACATATTTATTCATTGATTTCTTTCTCCTCTCGCGAACGAATCATTTAAATATCAATGGAGTCTATTGAAACTTCACAGGATCGATCCTTTCCCGCGGTAATATAACACATGTGGTAATGCTTCTAGACTTAAAAAAAAAAAAAAAAAGAAAAATAGCAACAAGTAGGCTCTAGAAGTCCACTCTTCTTCCTTGTCTGCTTTATTCATGAGACCACTCTCCTACAAATTACCATGTGCATGTATTTAGAAATCTTTCCAGGAAAGCATAGGAGACGTAGGAATACCAAAATGGCAGGATGTTGAGTATAATTCTTTGAATTTTTTTAATCCTTCGAACGAAACCAGTGCTTCTATCCATTCGTCTCTTTTAATTATAAAAATATATTAAAGTAATTTTTCTCTAATAGATATGTATATCTTTTAAAATGTAAATGTATGTGTTTTTACAATTGAAAAGAATTCGAAGTCGAAGGAAATCATTCTTTTTTGTTTTATGAAAAAATTATAGGTGCTAATGAATCCCTTCGGTTAAAGTACAGTTCAGTTAAAACCTAGTATACATTTCTAGAGCTAGAATTCATTTAAAACCTCTAGTATACACTTCTAGAGCTAGAATTCATTTAAATTCTCTGATAATCTCAATGGTATGCCTCAGTTATTTCAACGATACGTGTCCACTTTTTTTTTTTTTTTAATTCTGTCCCATACCTAACACAGAGACATTTATCGCCCTTCAACGTGGTGCATTATCATTTACGAATATTATCGTTTTGGAATTCGAGGCAGTCTAATCGAGTTTAGTAACGACGAGACGACCCCTACGGTATTCAGCGTGCTCAAACAGTGGTTCTCAATTCTCTTTCAATACCTATCTATTTTCTGTTTTTTTTTTTTCAGTTCTTTTATTTTTTTTTTTTTATACTTCCATTCTTACTAGTGTTTTCTACGATTCTACACTGTAAGTTTTTTTTACTAATTAAATAAGTTTAAACGTAACATTTTCCACAAAACTTCCACACGACTTCAAACACGTCGAATCGTATTGAAACATTTTAAAAGTAACCCTTCGAAGCTTTTAATTTTGGAACGAGTCTTAATTTTTAATATTAAGGAAAGGAAAAGGAAATTTCCAAATTTGTCCCAAAATTTGTCATTGTTTTATAATTCAAATGACAATTATCAATTCGAACGTAAATCAAAGAACTTTCTTGACTGACCAGAGATCTTTCTTCAAACTTCCGTGCTGTCTCGCAGATTTTTCGCAAAGAAATTCCATCGACGATCCGAGACCCGAACTATAAATTTTCCTTCCTTCCCTTCGTGTGCTGACGATTTCTTTGGCCCAATATTTTTGCACGTCAGCCGCCGCGGCGGTTGTTCTAGCGTTAAAACAAAAGTCGGTCCGTGCCGAAGAGCCAAGGCTAGTACCGAGGTTAGTTCTGCCACGAATACGTCCGGGTATTCGGACGTATGTTGGCCTTTCCGTAACGCCCCTTTGATCGAGGAATCAACGTGGCTAGCCGGCTTCGTAGCGAGCTGCCGTCGAAAATAGAGAACCTGGCGGACGTGGCATCGCCGGGAACGTGGCCAGGCATTCCCATGGTAGGTCCCCCAAAGTGCGTGCTTCTCATTCTGTCTCGCCTAGACGCCATTAGGATCGCCCGTCTCTCTCCCTGGCCCCCATCGTGCTCCAACATCTTCCTATCGACACCGATAGAAAACCACCTGTTTTCGTCACCGCCGGCTCTCTCTCTCATCTTTCGCTTACCAATTTACCTGTGAAATTTGAAATTTACCTTTCTCGAGCTTACCAAATTGCACGACGCTCGACACCGATCAAATCCGAAGCTGTTGTATTCCTAACATCAATTCAAATAAAATATTAAGAGTCAACGATCCAAGCTTAACTGGGTTGTTTCTATTTCGATCGAAAGCTACAGAGAGGTAGCTGGATAATTTAATTTCCGCTGGCAGCTGATTCGCGGACCATAACGAGTGACCGAACAGTATTCATATTTATTAATTATTTACTTTAATATATTTAAATATATTTATTAATTGTATACTTAAATATATTAATTATATACTGACCGAATAATATTCATATTTATTAATTATTTACTTCAATATATTTAAATATATTTATTAATTATATTTAAATATACTTAAGTTTATAATTAATAATTTATTAATTATAAAAAAACATATTTAAATATATTTAAGCATATAATTAATAAATATATTTAATTATATTAAACTAAATATATTTAAATATGTTTATTTATAATTAATAAATTATTAATTATATATTTAAATATATTTAAATATATTCAAGTATATAATTAATAAATATATTTAAATATATTTATTAATTATATACTTAAATAATATATTTTAAAACGTACTTCAATTATATATTTTATATATTTATTAAAACTGAGAAAATGTTGCAATTTGGGGCAAAAAATTCTCGACGTGGCCAAAGAAGTTAACCGAAGGCAGAGTTTTCGACACTTCTTCTGTAAATGCGATCGATCGAGTTGTCTGTATTTATTGGCGGACCAGTTCGCTTCGGTCTAACAAATTGATTCAATAGAGGAGGAAAGAAAGGGAAGGGTCGTCGAGAGTTAATGTAGTTTCCATTCTCTTTGCCTAAAGCGTCTCGTTGATTGGATCGAGCTAGGAAAAAGTGTATGAGCTTATTTAATCTTCGGTCCTGGTTAGATATGAGTGAAGGATGGGAAATTCTGAACCGACGATAGTGGGATCGAAGCGTTGATTAAAGAGGCGCGATGCTTTTCCCTTGCAATTTTTGTCTGCCTTTTTAATCAGTAGTTTGCTTGTATCTGAATGGTATAATTTTTTTTTTTTTCCTACAATCTTCGTTACTTTTTTCTCTTTTTTTAAATTTCTTGGAACATTTGTCATCTCAAGTATAGTTTCGCTTAAAGTTCCTGCAGACTTGCACAGCTATTACAAAAAAAGTCTCACCGAGAGTTAATATTTATTACACGCAGTGACTCAAAAAATTGATTGATTCAACACAACGTGTTTTCCTTTTTCTTAATCCTTATTGAACAAAATAAACGAGAGCAGTTTTCAATAAAAACAATTTGTCTAAAGTACGAGTTAGCTTTCTCTTTTTGTCTTTGCAATTTCAGTTTGAAGTCTCAGCACGTGCGATCAATTTCTTTGAGTTACAAGTATAAGCGTGGACTAAAGATTAAATTCAATTATCCTTGTTTCATGTGTTCGTAATGAAGATTTCCAAGTCAATTGAATGATAACAAGTATGCTGAGAAATACAAAATCAGGATTAATAAAAATTGGGACAGGTCTGTGCTAATTAGTTTGGGCAAACTAAACGGACATAATAATCAACACGCTATGTAAACTGAAAGATCGACTTGCAAGATCAAGTACAGACTGTTCACCTGTGAAGCTAGTGATAGCTTTCAATTAGAATAGTCGTCAATTTCTCGCTTAAAAACCGTCTCGTTTTTGTTGTTGTCAATCTTCCTCGCAATCCATTTCGCAAAAACCTGACTCTTATTTCTCACACGTGACTTACGAATCGTGTGGCAGGTTGCCTTGTAAATATGTCATTGCACGTCATTACAAGTTTCAATCGCACTTCGTCATCCACTCATTGTCCATTGAGTTCGTATACGTGCGCGTATGTAAAATGTATCCCCGACGTGTACTTCACATTCGAAATCATCGTTTCACGCTGAAAGCAAACAGATAATAACTCGAGCTTCGCTTTTCTCGATAAATGCTCGAAGACACGTCGATCGGTTGCTACGTTTAGTATTATCGGCCGGTTAATAACAAGCGAAGACGATGAGATTTGCTGCACGAAACCGCGAGCCGAAAGCGTGTCATTAGCGTACAGAATGTGGCGTCCTCTCACCGGAGGCGCTTCCTCCTCCTCCTCCTCCTCCTCCTTCCCGATGGTCTGGCAATATTTCTGAATACGTTTGTATCTCTTTTATTCTGCCACCCCCCCTTTTCTTTTTTTTTTTTTTTTTCCTCGGCGGTCGTCTCTGGCGATCGGGCAGCAGGCTCGAAGCCCGGTGTTCTCACGAAAGCGCACGCCAACGCCCTGGGCATGCCCTGATTTTCCACGAAAATCATTTCTGTAAATTACACGTCTCTCTGCCCCCATAGAAAAGTTCGGTTTCTCGCGAAAAAACGCTCCGCTCGCCGCGGATTTTTGTTTAGAATTCTCGCGTTTCCGCGCTGCGTACCGATACCGATGGGTAAATTTGGAGAAATTGTTTCGCGAAGCATTGAGCTAACAATCGTTCGATGGTAATTTTGTCACTCGATGCTGAACGGAAGAATGTATTTTTTTTTTTATTTTTCATTGCTGAAACTTTAGCAATGGAAAAACATTGCGTGCCTTCTTTACAAGCGGATTAGAAGATAGTTGATAGTGTTGGTAAAAACTGATGAAAAAAAATGGAGTAAAATTTGAAATTAAGCAGGGGAAAAGGAGGAATTATTAAATTTATTAACAGTTGCTAAAGTAAATTTTTGTCTACAGCTTAAGGATGATTGGCTTTTAAAGGGGTTAAGCATATCGAATAATCCTTGACCATTACTCGTTTTTATTTTTTATATATGTGTATATCCACTGTCACACTGTGTTTAAGAATATAAAGTATAATTTTCTTTCTTTGTTTTTAAATTAGACTTGCAAATTTGAAATTACACGAGTGCAACTTTGAATTTTGCCAGTAGCCAGTCCAGTCTTTGTTTCACATAAAACGT